AATATTTAGTTGTGGGCCCTGTGTCTCTGGAAGGATAATTTGGCCAAGAAACTGGAGAGGATATGTAAGGAACATTAAGACTAGTACAGGAAAAGAAATCAAATAATGAAAACATGATGAAACTGAATTTATTTATTGTAAAGAAATGAAATAGGTATGTTTTTATGTATTTAACAAAGAAACAAATGTTTGTTTAGTCTGTCTATGAGCACAGGAAAAGAAACAATGAGTTTAAAATAGAGAACAAAGATTAGATGTAAACATTAAAGAAGAAAATAACACCAAGAGCATTCAGTAATGGTATAAATTGCCTAGGAATGGAGTTGATTTTTAACTTGGATAAACATGTTTGAAGAGATAGCATATTGTAGTGGTTAGAGTGTTAGATTTGCACAGGGAAAATTCAGGCTGCCACTGCACTGCAGAAACAATCCAGTTTGACACCATTTTAATAACTTCTGTGGCTCAATGTTATAGAAGTCTGGGAATTGTAATTTGTTGTGGTACCAGAACTTTCTGACAGAGAGGGCTAAATGTCTCATAAAAATACAATGTGTAGAATTCCATAGCATTGAGTCATCACAGTTAGTGGTGTCAAAGTGGATTATTTCAGCAATCAGATGAAGCCTCAGTTCAAAGACCCATGGGGTCATGAAACTGACTGGTGACCATGGGCCAATCATTGTTTCTCAGCTTAACCTACTTCACAGGGTTGTTGGGAAAATAAAAATGGAGAAGACTTTATTTTAAACTCTTTGTGAAAATGGCTTGATATAAATGTAACAAATGCATAAATGATAAAGTTGAGTAGGCACCTTTTTGGGTTCGTTTAGGTAAGGGAAAAGGAACCTTTTTTTTAGACCACAGATACATTCTGGGTAAGCATGATAAAAGCCACATGCCAACAGTTTAGGTATAAGAAAGTATTACCCATCTCCCTTTAAAATTCTTTGTATGCTTTCATCATCATCATGGTATACAAATAGGGAGCACATCATCCAGAACTGTGAACTGTTGTGTTTTAATGTAGCAATTTTAGAGTTAGTTCAGATAACATGGTGCCTTTCTTGAAATTTTTTCACAACAGCTCCTGGCTTTCATGACCACTGCCCATGCTGGATGTTGCTGATGAGAGTTGAAATCCAAAGCATCCCCAGGGCACCAGGTTGTGAAAAGCTTAGTCATGTTAGCTTTTGATGCTAGGTATACTAACAATTTTGTTGTTGTTGCATGCTAGTTTTGACTTATGAAAATCCTATGAATGAGAGATTTCCAAGATCGTGATATTAACATCCTTGCTTAGGATTTGCAAGCTCAGGCCCATGGCTTCCTTTACTTTGTTGATTCACCTGTAATGTGGTCTTTCTCTTTTCCTACTGCCTTCAATTTTATGAAGCATTATTGTCTTGTACAATGAGTCGTGTCATTTCAAGAGATGTACAAATTATGACAGCATCAGTTTAGTCATTTGGCTTCTAGCAAAAGTTCCAGCTTCCTTTGCTATTGGACCTAATTATTTGTCTATTAGATGTTACTATTGCATATTGAGTTTATGAACTTAAATGCTTAGATGCAGTGTGGGCCTATGTGATGGGTCCATTTGTGGTCAAATCTCTAATTAAGACATCTTCAATTTAAAAATCTGAATTTGCTTAGAATGTTCGTATCTTGCTTATATTACATGGCTAAAACATTGTATGATGGCGAATGATGCTGATGATTGGGTGTACTTTATTGTTCAGGACAGTGACAACTTCAGTAATACCATTCAATTGTCTCCTTAAGTTCTGAATAGTAAAATGCTACTTTCATTTGGAAATCATTCAGAGGTAGCTGTGTTGGCCATTTAGCAAATTCAAACAAAAATCCATCAGTGATACCCATTATTGTTTAACCAAAATGCACAATATACTTGTTGCAAGCTTTTGAAGCCCCATGGGCTTCTTCATCAGGCAAGATGTTACAAGCCAAACAGGGGGGAAAAAAAACAATCGGAGATGTTAGTCAGATGCCTACATATTGTTTCAGTCTTTAGTTAAGATGCTATATGGTGGGGAGGATATCTTTTGCAGGCAGGCTCCTCCTCCTTCTGGCCATGTGGCTATAGGGAGATTCTCAAAGCCCACGAAATTTAAACTCTATTTGCATCTCAAAAGGGACCCCTCTTTTGCAATCCAATATGGATTTGGAAATGTTATTTTGAATGCTTAATTTTAGTTGCAACAATATCCAAGGCTTCCTTCTGTTATTATTGACAACATTTTCCCAACCTTCACCAGTTAGAAACTGGCAGGTATATATTTACAATTCAGAAAAATCTCTGGTAAATACTAAAATAAGTTGTCAGAGGACATAGAGCTATGCATGAACTGTAAGTCGTGTGCAGAGCTTAATATTTAAATCTTCTTGAAGAAATGAACATAATCACTAGGGTCTGTGCCTGTACATTGTTGGAAAGAACTTCTACAGGATCTTTCACATTTGACAGAAATAATATATGTTGTTATATCCTTGGCTGGAAATAAATCAAGTGCTCCAGAATATAAGTTGTGCCATTACATAGAAAACATGACTCCTATAAAATCCCCTTAGAGCAATTTACAATTGTTCATTTGTTAGAAAGCTTTTGAAACCTTGCTGGTATGCCAAGATCAAAAAGGAATTACTGCACTACATATGTTTGTGTGACTTTTTTAAAAATCTGGACAAAAAAGGAATTAATCTTGAAAAGTACTTTCATTAAAATAACAGTACGGTACTTTCTTCAGCAGAACTTCTTTTCTGAGTGGGAATACTGGGTACTTATTGGAGACACAAAATGAAACACAAACCGCCAAAGGCCTCTGACTGAATGGAAATGAACCACGATTATAGGTATAACGTGTAAATAAAACATTCATCATTTAACTGTACATAGCTTTTTATATACACATATACCAAACATAATGGTAACAAGTTCATGTGTATTGAACCAAGAAGTGTAAATGTTAAGTTTTTCTGTTACATGTGTAATTGTGATTCACTACTTATTAGAGAAGCATAAATTCAATTTATTGTTTTCTCTCTTCACTGTTGCCAGTGTAGATACAAGCAAGTGCCTTCTGGAATAACATGTTTGCTTTCCAAAACTACAAGGCATGCTTTAAAAATAAAGTAATAGAAAAATCTGAATAGACATGAATTAGTCACAATTTGAAAACTCGGCAAAAATTTTAATGAGACAATAGATTTTGGCTTGGATATAGAAGACCTCTACATCTGAAATAAGTAGGACTATTTATTTATTTGGTTATAATTTTAATACAGAATCATTAAGGTGTGCTAATGAATTCTCTAGATAATCTCATCCTTTCAGTTTTTAAAGGACAACTGTGTTTCCAAAGCTGAGCCTAATTGTAATAATGCAGCATGAATATGAGAAGGTTGAACATTAGAAATGGAAGGAATGCTTTGAGTATCATAGCAATTATTGTTTGGGGGAATGTCTCCTCAAGCAGCTTAATGTTGAGTTCTCAAATATGGGCTTGCATGTGAAACTCAAGATGTATTCATGCTTGAGGTTCATTGTTTAGAAAATAGGTAAGATATGCTTTCCAATGCTCATGTGGAGAACCTGTGGAGTCTATTTTTGCATTTTAGCCACTTCTTGTTCACACTGCATTTTCATATGTATTTTAAAGTGATCATTCAGCTTCTTCCTTTTGTCTCATAATTAATTCAGTTTTGAGATGTTGCTTACACATAGTAATGA